ATGAAGAAGAGGGGACACATGTTGATGTAGAAGAGACATGAAGAAGAGGGGACACATGTTGATGTAGAAGAGACATGAAGAAGAGGGGACACATGTTGATGTAGAAGAGACATGAAGAAGAGGGGACACATGTTGATGTAGAAGAGACATGAAGAAGAGGGGACACATGTTGATGTAGAAGAGACATGAAGAAGAGGGGACACATGTTGATGTAGAAGAGACATGAAGAAGAGGGGACACATGTTGATGTAGAAGAGACATGAAGAAGAGGGGACACATGTTGATGTAGGAGAGACATGAAGAAGTGGGGACACATGCTGATGTAGAAGAGACATGAAGAAGAGGGGACACATGTTGATGTAGAAGAGACATGAAGAAGAGGGGACACATGTTGATGTAGAAGAGACATGAAGAAGAGGGGACACATGTTGATGTAGAAGAGACATGAAGAAGAGGGGACACATGTTGATGTAGAAGAGACATGAAGAAGAGGGGACACATGTTGATGTAGAAGAGACATGAAGAAGAGGGGACACATGTTGATGTAGAAGAGACATGAAGAAGAGGGGACACATGTTGATGTAGAAGAGACATGAAGAAGAGGGGACACATGTTGATGTAGAAGAGACATGAAGAAGAGGGGACACATGTTGATGTAGAAGAGACATGAAGAAGAGGGGACACATGTTGATGTAGAAGAGACATGAAGAAGAGGGGACACATGCTGATGTAGAAGAGACATGAAGAAGAGGGGACACATGTTGATGTAGAAGAGACATGAAGAAGAGGGGACACATGTTGATGTAGAAGAGACATGAAGAAGAGGGGACACATGTTGATGTAGAAGAGACATGAAGAAGAGGGGACACATGTTGATGTAGAAGAGACATGAAGAAGAGGGGACACATGTTGATGTAGAAGAGACATGAAGAAGAGGGGACACATGTTGATGTAGAAGAGACATGAAGAAGAGGGGACACATGTTGATGTAGAAGAGACATGAAGAAGAGGGGACACATGTTAATGTAGAAGAGACATGGAGAAGAGGGGACACATGTTGATGTAGAAGAGACATGAAGAAGTGGATTTTGCATAATAGGTGACCTTTAATAAACACTGACCTTCGGGGTCGTCGTACAGGGTGATGCCGATCTTCTCGGGGGTGCGGGGGGGACAGCTGTCCACCTCAGGGACCTGGAGGGGGAGCTCAGACAGCTTCTTCTGGCTCTCACAATACTTCCTCACGTCCTCATCTGCCGTAGGAGAAAGATGGACAAACACATCAACACACAAAATGCCCCGTCTTCATATTTCCCACACAGGATTAAGACACAGAGGGGTTGTTGGTGTTTGGTGTCTCTTTGCAGTTGTTGTTGTTGTCTATTTTGTAGGACTGTAGCCCCATTTTTGCAATTTTTCACTGAATCTTTCTGGCAGTTTCTTAGGTCTTTGTGGTTTTCTAATGAAATTGTCTTTCACTTTGTGTCTAGTGATCTTGTTGTGTGGTTTTGCCTCTTTTTAAAAAGGGCCCATGTCATGCTTTTCTGGTTATCACCCGTCCCCTTGTGTTATGAAGGTTGTTCTGCATGTAAACGGTCTGCAGAGTCACAAACCCTCAAAGTACACCCTGTAGCGAGTAAAACTCTAAGAGAAGACCTGTCTGTGCTCCCCCAGAACACCTCGTTGGACATTTATCTTTTTCCTGAGTATAGTGACGTGCCCATACCCAGGTCCAAATGGACCAATCCGTGGAGCTCCTCACACACACACACACTCACTCAGCCTTATCTTTTCTCCCACAGTACAACACATCCTCACTCCCAGGTCGGCCTATGTTGACGTTATGTCAAGTCCCCTGTAGGCTTTTTCCAACGCAAGGGGGGGGCCTTAGCGTCCATTTTCAACGCAAGGGGGGGGCCCTTAGCGTCCATTTTCAGCTTTCCGGGATGTCCATATGCTTCTATGGACGCTCATGGAAGCACAGCGTTCGTTTGTGTCGACTGCCCTTAAAGGCAATGTGAGCGTCCATTCTCATTGGATAACGGAGAATTGTACACCCGGAAGTAAGTATTCCCCTTACTGTCGATTGATTTTACAGTGATATCTGCACTACTCATCGACTAAAAAACACCAGATTATCCTTGTTAATTACACAACATTGATTGGTTTAAATTGTGTGCAATGCTTTTGTATTTTTCCCCTTCGATTCGGAGAAACAAATATTTTTTCGGAGTAAAGGATGGCAGAAGACACTACACTACCCAGAATCCCCAGCTATCATTTGGACTACACCATGTGCTCTGTTTGACAAACCCCGTGATAGTCCTCAAGCTCTGTGATTGGAGAGTGTGCTCCGAGGGTTACGCCGAGCCTCGAACAGCACTTGAAATGGGATGGAATCACGGCAGACTGTCCAAAACTGGATTTGAACGGGTCCACCGCGTCCCCCCCTCCCCCCCCCCCGTCCCCAGAACTACACATGCTGGCTATTCTGTTTCGCAACATGTTCTCTATCTATGGCACGTCTCTACTGGGAGTTGTAGTTTTAAAAGACGTTTTTGTATTTCCCATAATAAGAAGTTGCCAGTATTAAACTGTGTACATCCCTGGAGGTTTAGGGGATAGGAAACACTCACATTTAAAACATATAATTAATAAATGGGTGAAAATTGCTTGTGCCCATAATGGGCAGCATTAATATATATATACACACATGCCAGCTAAGGTCAGAAGAGCTTTATTTAACAGCTGGTCTTATGTTTGTGACCCCTGTTGTTAATTGATAACATTACATTACATTACATTAATTGAAAAGCCTGAAACATGCACTTGTTAAGGTTCAGAGGCACATTTTGCAAATATGGCAGTAGCCATCGATCAGCTTAAGATAAGATATACTTTATTGATCCCAAGTTGGAACATTTGCGTTACATCAGCATGTGTAACGGTTAAATATGCAGTGGTGTTTATTTGTAAATCATTTAGTATAATCACACAAATTCTGTGTTTTATATTCAACAATTCTGTGTTCTTTATTTATTGATTGTTCAATACCGGACAAGGCCGGAGATGAAATATCTACATACATCTTATAAGAGTATAATACATTATGTATAATATCAGTTAAAATAAGTGCTTCAACATAGTTAACATTGCTGGAGGTATGCACACATATTGATAGATGTCTTGTAATGCACTATTGAGGAACCTGCGACCCAAGTTTTTCATTCAATGCAGAACTACACCATAGTTGTGTAGGCCTATATATGTCAATAAACCTTAGAAAATCATGAAATCTTGAAAGGGATGTGCAAAATAGTCATTATATACAGTCTTTAATTAACTATTAGTAGAGAATAACGAGTAATGAATATACTTGATAGGGATCCTATTAATATCTAATAATAAAAATAATGAAATGCAATAACATGCTTTAACCACTAGGTGTCCCTTTATATCAGGTGTGCACCTTTATGGTGTAAATACAGCCTATCTACCGATTGGATCAAATATAAAAGTCAGCCGAATTAGTGTTGATACTGCAAGGAGACGTATTGTGTGAAAAGAAATGTAAGATGTTGTTTAATGGCTGATATATTTATGACCCACGTCACGTTTTCAGTTCCTCATGTTTGTCTAGAAGTCTTCTCATCAGGGCTCTATAAATACAGAACTACGGCAGATATGTAATATGTAATGCAGCCGAACCGTGTATTACAATGCCGGTATGTGATGACTTCCAAAGAGAAAAGCAAGCACACTCGGAATAAAGTATTATTTTATTTATTTTAAATGTTTTGGGTCTGTTTCCGGTATTTGTTAATGACGATGTGCTGTGAGATGTGAGACTGGAATTGCACAGGGGAAAATAACGTAGGCTATCTTTAGATGCGGATTTTGTTAAACTAATATGTTTGCGCTGTGGACCAACACTATACATTGACGGGGAAGGGGGTAGCAATAAAGATAACACCATTAAACAGTTACACAACATAACAGAAATAATATCGATAGCAGCGTCCCTAGCAACCACCTTGGTAACAATGAAAACGTTATGGACGCAATTTCCTGAAGTAATCTTCGTAATAATTAGCAAACTAAAGATCATGTACATCCACTGCACACAAAATCTGAAATAACAACTCGTATTTCTCGCATCAAATGACATCAAAACGCATTTTAATGGCCAAACTAACTTTAAAATAGGCATTTTCCACCGAGAATAAAACGAAGTTCGGTAATGTTTTTTATTTCTGCAGGGAGAAATTTGAAGATCACGTGATGTCAAACAGAGCACATGGTGTAGTCCAAATGATAGCTGGGGATTCTGGGTAGTGTAGTGTCTTCTGCCATCCTTTACTCCGAAAAAATATTTGTTTCTCCGAATCGAAGGGGGAAAATACAAAAGCATTGCACACAATTTAAACCAATCAATGTTGTGTAATTAACAAGGATAATCTGGTGTTTTTTAGTCGATGAGTAGTGCAGATATCCCTGTAAAATCAATCGACAGTAAGGGGAATACTTACTTCCGGGTGTACAATTCTCCGTTATCCAATGAGAATGGACGCTCACATTGCCTTTAAGGGCAGCCGACACAAACGAATGCCGTGCTTCCATGAGCGTCCATAGAAGCATATGGACATCCCGGAAAGCTGAAAATGGACGCTAAGGCCCCCCCCCTTGCGTTGAAAATGGACGCTAAGGCCCCCCCCCTTGCGTTGGAAAAAGCCGACAGGGGACTTGACATAACGTCAACATAGGCAGTGCTTGAATTGGAATGAAAAAGGTGCCAGTACTCTAAAATCAGCAACTTTTTCAAGTCAATTTTATATATACAGCCCACAAACAAGAATTTGGCTACTATAATGATGGTGGGTTTGTCTCTTTACTACTGTATATTTTAGAAAGGTTCACTGTACTTAACATTTTTTATGATAGGCAGCGGATATGGCTAAAGCTCAGTAAGGTAAATATTAACTGAAAATATAGCAATCAAAGTCTAGATCTTCTGCTGAAGACACATGAAGCAGAGACCTTTCAGGTGAGAGCCCCTCTGGTGGTGTTCAACATTAATGACAAGGAAACAAAGCTCTGGTCAGAAGCATTTTTTATAAAAAGCTTTAACAAAATTAAGTATTTCTGTACATTTTGAATGCAATCTAACTTTCCAACTCAGAAAACGAAAAAGTGCCAAAAGTCTTCTCACATGGCTGAGCTGCTTTGCAATATACTTCACCACTGAAGAATACAAATATGTATAAAGTAAACTATGATGCAATCTAACTTTCCAACTCAGAAAAATGATAAAGAGCATGAACAAAGAACATGTAAAAACAAATGCAAAATTTGCACAATCTAAAATGAGAAACTGTAACTGCAAGTAACAAAGTCTGAGCCATGGTAAAGAGTTACATTGAACACCAAGCTGATCAGATAACTCCCTGGTTGGTCTGAAGTCCTTCTATCTCCAGGATCTGTACAAATCGGCACATTATGCCAAAAGTCTTCTCACTGGGTGAGCTGCTTTGCAATATACTTCACATTGTTAGAAAAGGCTCCAGAAGGCCTTGGGGACATCAGTATCAGGGGCTGGAGCTGGACAGGCTCTTTCATCAGCACTTCTCCTTCCCTTTGCCAGCCAGGACCTCACATACTGTTCCGGATTGAACTGTCCTAGTGATGGTCCATTACATTTAATGAAAACCAGGCTGGACAGTCGGCTGACAGAGAGAGCATTCCTTTTTGCAGTAAGGATATCGTTCATGCAGCTGAATGCCCGCTCACACTCACTAGTGGAGACAGCGATGGTTCGGACTGCTTTCAGTAGAGGCTCCATGGCAGCAGGTGTACGGGATGCCCTGGTTTACTTGTATTCGCGAAAGCCCTGAACAGTCTCTCTTCTGTCCACTTTCAGCACTTCGCACAAACGTAGCACCTCTATGTCCCCATACTGTACGTCTAACTCCTCTTCAGGCCAACTTCCAGGATGGATAACTTTCATGTCCTGGATTAGCTGATTGTCCCGGGCCTCCCGGCCATGTAATGGGATTTCTCTTATGCTGACATGAGAGGAGGTTGTGGAAGTCATTCTGTGTCTCAGATTCTCTACCATACTGCGGAAAAACTGACCTGCATGAATCTGTACAAGCCTGCCATTCTCACGCAGGGCAACACCCTTGAAGGACTTCTCAGCTCGAGCTGTATGAACTGTAGTCATGTGTGGGCCAGGCATGGTGACCATGGATTCAAA